TCGTATAATCCTGTTGACCAAGTCTGCGCTCCTCCGTACGACGTCGCCTTATCACTTGAAAACACAAACGTGAGCTAGCCGGCGGGTATGTGCCGGAAACCTATCCGATGCCTAAGTCAGCAAACTTGACAAATAGACAAAGCTCTGTGAATTCAGAAAGCAAAGTTGTGTGTTACCTCTCCCAAGGTGATGCTTGTGAGCTTTTATAGGTTTTGTGTGGCACAATCCTAGTAGGACTTCTATTCCTCCATGCAGAGTCCTCCTAGGATTCATACTCCTGAAAGATAATGCTTATCCTTCAACACCCCCCTCACTGCTTAAACCAAGTGAGATGGTTTTATCATGGCCGAACTCCAATACGACCGAAGTAAAACACGACTATGTAAAGCCGTAGAATGAGCCGAACTAGTTCTTCCTTTTACTTCTCTTACGTCAGCTTCTCATGCACAGCACATGGCATGGTCGGACCGAACTAACAAATTGTGACCGGTATAACTCCAAGACCGGTCTAACTCAAAGGTACCGTTAGACCGATCTAACTTCGTTCTTACGTCGGACCGGACTATCTCTGCAGTCTTACGACCGGACTAACTCCAAAATATCGCACGACCGGAGTATCTTCCATGGCCATTTCACTTTGGCCCTTTATACTGAGGCCATAATATCCATCTCATAGCTCGGCCCAATTTTCACCAAAATTACCCTCTCATCTACAATTAATATTTAATCATTTATTAGTGCCGACAAGAATTGTTACCGTGTGAACAAAATCATTCACACTTACCAGTTCGAAATAAATCCATATAGAATAGTCAAATGGAATAACTTGAAGAATGTAGCCTTCTTTAAGTATAATTATCCAATTATTGAGATTAATTAGTCTCAAGTTGGTGCTAGAGTTTAAATTTAAAGGCTTTAAAAATGGGATACCAATGAACATGGGATCACACTTCCAAGGATGAAACTTCAGTGGAAATGACAAATAGTTTAAAATACCAACAAACATACAAATAAGAAAACATAAGCCACTTTTACTATTTTATTTTCTCACAAAATGCGTGGACAAAGTTCAGAATTGACAGCAATTAAGTTGGAAAAGCTTCTAGAAGCCCACTCTAGAGGGACCTTTGAATATATTTTGCTAGCTGTTTTGGAGGAAAAAATATTTGATAATGATATTGCTTGTAAATGTTTTAGGTAATGATGTTGCTTGTAAATGTTTTAGATAATGATGTTGCATGTAAAAATATTATTGCCGACAAGAATTGTTACCATGTGAACAAAATCATTCACACTTTCCAATTCAAAATAAATCCATATAGAATAGTCAAATGGAATAACTTGAAGAATGTAGCCTTCTTTAAGTATAATTATCCAATTATTGAGATTAATTAGTCTCAAGTTGGTGCTAGAGTTTAAATTTAAAGGCTTTAAAAATGGGATACCAATGAACATGGGATCACACTTCCAAGGATGAAACTTCAGTGGAAATGACAAATAGTTTAAAATACCAACAAACATACAAATAAGAAAACATAAGCCACTTTTACTATTTTATTTTCTCACAAAATGCGTGGACAAAGTTCAGAATTGACAGCAATTAAGTTGGAAAAGCTTCTAGAAGCCCACTCTAGAGGGACCTTTGAATATATTTTGCTAGCTGTTTTGGAGGAAAAAATATTTGATAATGATATTGCTTGTAAATGTTTTAGGTAATGATGTTGCTTGTAAATGTTTTAGATAATGATGTTGCATGTAAAAATATTATTGCCGACAAGAATTGTTACCATGTGAACAAAATCATTCACACTTTCCAATTCAAAATAAATCCATATAGAATAGTCAAATGGAAAAACTTGAAGAGTGTAGCCTTCTTTAAGTATAATTGTCCAATTATTGAGATTAATTAGTCTCAAGTTGGTGCTAGAGTTTAAATTTAAAGGCTTTAAAAATGGGATACCAATGAACATGGGATCACACTTCCAAGGATGAAACTTCAGTGGAAATGACAAATAGTTTAAAATACAAACAAAAATACAAATAAGATAACATAAGCCACTTTTACTATTTTATTTTCTCACAAAATGCATGGACAAAGTTCAAAATTGACGGCAATTGGAAAAGCTTCTAGAAATCCGCTCTAGAGAAGACCTTTGAATATATTTTGCAGGTCGTTTTGGAGGAAAAAATATTAGGTAATGATGTTGCTTGTAACTGTTTTAAGGTGAATTACATTAACAATCTATATAATTTGAAATTTATATTATTTTGATTTTTGATTTTCTAATTGTAATATATTTGACCTTAAATTTTGAATCTCGCTCTAAATAAGGATAATTAAAGACATTGTTGCTCCATTTGAAAAGCAAAGTCATTATACAATTTATTATGTATTGGTTAACTTATATGTTATTTGAAATATAATGACTTTTCCTTAATGAATAATGTTAGAACTTTTTTTGTTGTAAAGCTCTGTTTGGTTTGATTTTCAAAATTTATTTTCAAAACATTTTTCTAAGAAACTAAAAATTAAATTGGTAAAAAAAAATTTAGAAACGTATCATTTTTATATAATTTTATCTTTTTGGTGAATTTTTAAAAAATTAAAAATAATTTTTTGATATTTATTTTTATCTAATTAGTTTATATTTTATCAAATTGATGACTTTGTCTTTCAAATGGAGTAACAATGTTTTCAATTATTCTAATTTAAAATGAGATTCAAAATTTAAAATCAAATATATTACAATTGAAAAATTATGAATCAAAGTGACACAAATCTCAAACTACAGAAATCGTTATTGTAATTCGTCCAATATTTTACGTAAATAAAATTAAAAAATATGTTAAATGTGTCATCTTTTATCTTTTAATTATTTAATAAAAATAAATTAATATTGTCTTATTTATAAAAATTTCAGCTACATCATAGGTTAAGAATACCACTTGGACAATAGTACTACACGCTAACTGACCACTGTAGCCACTCTTCTTTGGGCTCAATTATGTCATGGATTTTTCTCATATCCAAATTATTTTTTTATAACTATTCAATTTTTTTATTTTATTTTAAATTTTAGTTTCAGTATATGAAACACACAACTGAAACCATATATTAAAATTATGTCAAGCACTTTTTTATAAACAGTTTATTGAAAATTTTTATTTCTTTCTCTCTCTTTTTTCTTTTTTTTTTTTCATTTGCATTCAATTTTTTTTATTCATTTCTATATAAACGATCTGCAAAATTGATATGTAAATAGGTTACTCCACATACCCGTCAGGGAGTATTATCCCTTAGAACTCACAATGCATCTACAGGGAACCCATCGCACCTACGTCGGAACCGAAGCTAAGGCTCTCCGCGTGCTATAAATACTAAAAAGTATGTTTAAACCTCACAATAAATTATGGGGACTCGAACGCAAATTATGAATGATAAATTCAAAGGGCTTATCACTAAACTAACTCCTAATGGTTATTCATTTCTATATATGCGTATACTTTTTTTTTTTTAAGAATGAATATATATACGTGTATACATAGCATAGCCTTCTAGTATATTTATCTACAAATAGCCTCAAGCATAGCCTACCTTCATTTTGTTTGTACTGTGTCTGTGTTGTTTGTGTTAGAAAAATTTAATTTACCCAAAAAAAAAAAAAAAAAAACTATGAAAGATTCTATATTTTATAAGTTATAATATTAAATCTTTCATCTGAAATGTATTCTTGTCTCTTATCCATTTTGTAAAGACCCTTGATCATATTGAGTTGTTTAACTAGCCTCTGGTTGAGATTTCAGAATTTCATTTTTAGGTATATTATACTTGGAAAATTCTATAGCACACATCCCAATCACAAATTTGTGTCTCACCATATATTGATGTAAAAAAAATATTGTAATCAAACCACAAACTTTTGTTACATGGATCACAAAATTTTGAATATTTTCTTACATTAATTTGTGGCAGTGTTACACTATTCATAATCCAAATTATCCCTATACACTATTCAGATTTTTATTTATATATATATATATATTTTTTTTCTTCCATCTACATCCAGTTTATTGTTCATTTGTTATATACAGGGCACAACTGATAAAATAATTTGAAATTATACTCAAACTATGAGTATTCAGGTCATAAGTCTATTTTTTAATCTTTTAAGTCATTAGGTCCAAACTCTAATATTTTTGGATTAAAAAAAACATAATTTGTCTAAAAAGACATTATCTATTGAAATCAAATAAACCTATCTCTTGAAATCATCCAATTTGTCTATCAGTTGAAAATTCATCAAGCCTATTTTCTTATCTGTTAAAATTCGTCAAAACAACCTATATGTTAAAATTCACCAAGCATATTTTCTTATATGTTAAAATTCACCAAATAACCTATATATTGAATTTTACCAAATCTATTTTTCTATATTTTGAAATTCACTAAACTTCATTTTTGAATTCACAAAATTTATTTTTTTATCTATTGAAATTTATATGAAACATGTCCGTCATTCAACATTATATTTTTTAAATATCACACATTCCTTTTTCTCACTATTGCTTGTTGTCACCGGCGACTTCACTAACCAATTTTTTATTAACTTTTTTCACTGCACTTTTCCTGTGCGTCATTATAACAAATAAAAAAAAAATGCTTGGAACCTCTAATTAGAGGTGCCATTAATGATGTGGCAATGAGTACCCACTGCCACTGTAAGTGCGGTGTCTGTTTTTTTTATCCTTTCCTTTTCCACCTCACTGACAAATAAATTTTTCCCCTGCATCTAAGCTGACACACTCTTTTGGGATAGACTTTCACCAATTTTCTCTTCAACTGCTGCCCACTATTTATTTCAATTTTTTATTTATTTCGATTTTTTTTCTTTCTTTATTTCTTTCCATCTACCTTTCAATTTTTTATTCTATAGACACGTATACATACACTTCTGGTAGATCTATAAATATGTCTATAATCTTCCACTAATTGCAAATATGAAAACATAAGTCTAATAATAAGTAATATACACTTCCATGCTTGTCTCTCTCCACAGGGCTTATGAATTTGTCTTAACCCTAGAACCCGGTGGTTGAAGCGCTGACCAAGAATTAGCAGAATTCGAAGCCAAACACTTTGAATCCGAGTGAAGAACAAGGACTCAGAAGTGCTCCAAGCAATAATTGAGACCCAAGGTTAGGTCCTGAGTTTCATTATTTTTATGCAATCAATAATGCTTTTTTGGGTGTTCTTATGTGATGTCTTATAATTTCAATTATCTCACTTTTGACACTGAATTTATAATTTTGTCTCAATTTAATTTAATAGATTATAATTTTTATTTTTTTAATAAAAAAATTAACACATAAACTATACGTGTCATGCTTTCATAAATAAAATTATAAACATGTTCAACTTGATAAGTTAAGCTCAACTACATCAATGATTAATTTCCTTCAAACACCCTAATTAATATTATTAATTAGACTAAATTGACATAAAATTTAAAATTAAGGATCAAAATCGAACTAATTAAAATGATAGAGAGACCAAAATGACGCCTTTTCCCCTTCCAAATTGAATTAAAATTGTATGGTAAACTCGTGAGGCTTGTGGATTTTTTTTTCAAAGGGATTATTATATTTTTTAACCATGATAATAATATTTTGGTGCGTTACTTGGCAGTTGAAAGATAAAAGATTATTTCACAACAAAGCAATGGAGAAAAAACCAGGGATTACATTGAAAAACCGTTCAGAATCTGAAGCTCAACAAGGCCTATGGCTTTCGCATAACTTGAATCTTCGAGACAACAAAACCATGAAGTACCTTCCTCCCTCCCAGCGAGTACCTTCATTGTGCCTAAAAACTCCAAACAGTATTCGCATTGGAGGAGAAGAAGACAGTGGAAGTAGTAGGCAAGTTGATGATGAGAAACAACCAAATGCATTCCTTCGTCCCTCCGAGAGAATATCTTCATCGCTCCTAAAAACACTAACCACTGTTCGCACTGGTGGAGGAGGAGAAGACAGTGGAAATAGTAGGCAAGTTGATGATGAGAAACAAGCAAATGCATTCCTTCGTCCCACACAAAGATTATCTTCATCGCTCCAAAAAACACTAACCACTGTTCGCAATGGTGGAGGAGGAGAAGGCAGTGGAAATAGTAGGCAAGTTGATGATGAGAAACAAGCAAATGCATTCCTTCGTCCCACACAAAGATTATCTTCATCGCTCCAAAAAACACTAACTACTGTTCGCAATGGTGGAGGAGGAGAAGACAGTGGAAATAGTAGGCAAGTTGATGATGAAAAACAAGCAAATGCATTCCTTCGTCCCACACAAAGATTATCTTCATCCCTCCAAAAAACACTAACTACTGTTCGCAATGGTGGAGGAGGAGAAGACAGTGGAAATAGTAGGCAAGTTGATGATGAGAAACAAGCTAATGCATTCCGTCGTCCCACACAAAGATTATCTTCATCGCTCCAAAAAACACTGACCACTGTTCGCAATGGTGGAGGAGGAGAAGACCGTGGAAACAGTAGGCAAGCTGATGATGAGAAACAAGCAAATGGATTCCTTCGTCCCTCCCAGAAACTACTTTTATTACAACGGTCTCCTACTCAAATGCCATCTACTTCCAACCTCATGCGTCCCCGACATGACTAAAACCGAGTTAAAAAGACTACCAATTGATGTCGAAATTCCAGGCTCCATGTTATTATTGCTTGAAATAAAAAACCTGGCCGTGTCGTGTGACAAAAAAAAAGTAGTTAGTTTTTATATATTTGTTGTTGTGTTTGATATATGCTGTTGTTATTATCCTTTTGCTTTTAGATGACATCAAAGAAAAAAAAAACAAACCCATCAAACCAGAGAATGGAAAACCCCAAAACTCCACCTCCTCCTAACACCAATATTACAACATAACATGAGAAAGAAAAAACAGACACAGAAAAACCAACCACCCATGTGAAACCAACAACTGCAACAGAACGAGTGAATCGGTGTCCCAATAAAATTGGCACCTAATAAGACTCGCCCGATCATATTCAACCACCAAAAGGAACACCAAACAGTTGGTGAGACACCAAACAAACACCAAGCAAAATCAGACCCCAACATTGAAATCAAAACCTTTTTATGATGAATAGAGCATATATCAAGTCTAAACTCAGTACATGATGGATCCAAGCCAAGTATAGCTTTCATATATGCAATCAAAAGCACATAAAGACAGCATTCAAATCATCAACTTATTAATAACCTTCCAAAGAAGACACCCCAAAAGCAAAAATCAGAAATAGAATTTAAAAGCAAATTAATTAGTGCAAATAAAAGTTAACAATGATGCGATCTACATCATGGCTAAATCACTGCATCCCAACAATATTGGCACCGAGAAGCCAACAAATCCTTTACAAGCATCGAAAAAAACAAACAAAAAGACCATGGTACTACACGTAACCAACGACAGAATCACAAAGAGCAAAATGAGTAGAATTCACTTTTAAGAGTTTTTTTCTGTGTCCAAATTCAGAGAAGATCTAGAGCACTACCCATTATACTATTCTATCAGTAAATCAAGTCACTGTCAAAAACAAAGAAAAGAAAAATTATGAAAGCCCCCATATCAGGAGTCTGCTTTAGGCCACGAAAATGTCAGAGCCGACCCTGTTTGTTAATTGTGTGGATGTGGCAGAGGCAATGACAATAGTGGTGGTATTGGAGTGGTGGTGGTGGTGATGGCGGTAATGGTGATAATGTGAAAAGGTAGGAGGGATGAAGACAATGCACCTCAACTGTCACAACAATGGCATAATCGTAACATACTTAAAATTGAGCATTCAACATTCAGATTTAAGTAAGAAGTTCGTGACTTAATACTTTGGCCTACTCTTAGAAAGTGCTTAAAATTTTAAGGGCAAATTACATTAACACTCATAAGATTTCTATTTAATATAGATCTCTCCCTCACGTTTAAAAAGTTACACTTATCCTCCTGTTAGATTAAAATAGCATATTTGCCCCTTAGCCTTTATACATATAAAATAATAAAATAATACTAATATTTTGTTCATGTCATTTCAAGAAAAATAAAAATCATTTTCTTTGGTAACTCACACAAAAAATTTAATTTTTTCATTATTCGTATATTTTTATTTTTACTGAATTTTTTTAATATTTTAAGCAATTTTTATTTTATTTTTTATTTTTTAGATATTCCTAATCTAGATATACTTAAGGAGCATGTTTGATTGGGTGGATTAGACCATGAGATTGTGATTATTAATCTGTGGGCCCAATTATCCTATGTTTGTTTTAACATTTTGGTTTAGGATTATTAATCCAATGGATAATTAATCCAACAAATTTGTAGGATTATTAGTAATGGGGTAGGGGTGAGATTATTAATCCAATGGATATTAATCCAATTGAATAGTGAATACCACACTAATTTAATAGGATTATTAATATTTCACTATTAATCTTGTGAATCAAACATGGCCAAGAAGTATAATATTTTTGTGATTTTTTTTAAAATTCACTAAATACAAAAATTCAATAATACTGTAATAAATATGAATGACAGTGTTTGGTAATACTATAATAAATGTGTGTGAATAGACAAGAAAAAAAAAATGATGGTGGAAATAAAAATGAAAAATTCTATTTGTTCATAAAATTTTATACAAAAAAATATCATAAAAATGTTAGAATAGTGATATTATTGTAAATATAAATTACATTTATGAGTATTTTATTTTAAAGTGAAATGTCACCATTAAGCTACATCATTGTGTTTGAAAATTTTATATAAAATTTATGTTTGTATATCATCACTCAATAAGAATATGTTCAGGTAGAATTTAATGATAAAAAATTATAAAATGTAGTCATGGTGATAGAAAGAAGAAATAGTAGGAAAAATGGTAAGATAGGCATTTAGAAAATTTTAGGGCATAATATTAGCATGCAGGGACAATTTGTAATGAGATTACAAACCTCAGGAAGAGAAATGTAATTTTTCAAATGTGAGGAAAGAATTTGTATTAAATAAAAATCTCAGGGGATGTCAGTGTAATTTACCCTTGATTTAAAGTGTTAGAATTAGTTAATTACATAATTAACCTTGAACATGCACATCATAGGGTGGAATTCATGATAAAATAATATAGTTTTATTCAGATTGTGTCATTTACATTTTATATTGTTAGATCTGTGATTGATTTTGTATGTGTGGATTTATTGATTTCAATTAATCATTACGAACTTCTTGCAATAATTTACATTATTCATTTTATAAAATTATTTCAATAAATCATTCTTATAAAAAATTAAATTGAACGAACAACATCAATCACATGTATACATTTGCTATTAAAAAAATAAAAGACAAATATAACTTTAAAAATAAATACTTCATTATTTTAAATATATTTTGATAATGTACAGTAGTTTAAATTATTTAATTTTTTACCTAAATAATTTGCTAAAAAAATTGTAAAAGAACAGTTGTTTGATTTGTAGAGGTAAATTCCGTAATGAGACTAAGAAGGCCTAACAAGACGATTCGATGAATTCTACAATATAAAATGTTGACATCATCAGGGAGGAAATCGAGATTTCATTACCGGATGGACCAAATTTCAATTAAAAATTTCATCATATACACTAGTAAACATGTATATATAATACGATATGTTAGTTATATATACACATAATAAATAAATAAATAAATCGAACACTATGGAATTAATTTGGTATTGGATGACAAATTTTTTTTTTCTTTTGTGTAAAATAAAAAGAGAATGCAAGGTCGAAAAAGAGTGAGATATATAATTTTTGTTGAAGGAAACAGTGTCCTTCACAGAAGGAAGGGGGCCATGGCCTCCCTCCATATTTTTTCCCTAGTTCCATCCCTGGACACCATGTTATATAAATTTTTGGGTAATTTCATTTTAGTGAATATGCAAAAAAAATATTTTCAGATTAATGATAACTTTTATAAATGTTAAAAAATAAAAATATAATTTTTTTTTGTAAATTTATAATTAAATTTTAAAAAATCACTAACATTTAATTTTTCTTAATTTTTTTTGCAAATTTTTTATATCATTTGTGTAGATGATAAAATATTATTCATTTTAATATTTAATACTTATACGGAAAAAAACAATATAAAATAACGACAATTTTTTTTAGGGGAATTGACCAATAAATCCCATATTTCGGTCTTGTGATCCATATGGTCCCAAATGTTTTCTTGTTACAGCGTAATCCTTTTGACTGATTGTTTACTAATTTGCCATTGGTCAAATTATTATAAAAAAATTGTTAATGTAATTATGGGAGTAAGGGTGCCTGTGTTTCACCACACCTGTGAATCTCAATCACACTGCAAAATCGGCCGTAACGGGTGGCGGTAACCACCAAAACCGTTACGTAACGGCGTTACGTAACGGTTGCGGCCGCTTTTTAAAACCTTGGGAGAGAAACTAACTATTTAGACATGATCTCTCGTAAATCAACTCTAATCCGCACAGTATTTACTCTCAAAAGTAGAAATCATGAAATCCTACAGATCCAATGAAAACAAACAAAACCTATTTTCTCTCTCTTCTTTGTCTAAACCCAGCACCCAATGAAGAAGATGGGGTAAACAGTGTCGAATTCGAGAAGGGTAGAGAAACCAAAACTAACGCGGATCTGGAAAGGAAAAGTGGTTGAGCAGAAAGAGATTTGTATAGAGTTGAGGATGGCTTAAATTTGCTTCATTTCGATGGTGACCAAGTGTTTTCTAGAGGCCGACCTAGTGATGGTGGCGGTGTTGTTACCGTGGTGGTAGCTAGAGAGGTTGTCTTGGACTAACACGACTGCAGAGATTTGGCCTTGGAATCCGCCTGTAGCGGAGACTTTACGGGAGAAAAAATGAAGAAGAAAAAGAAAATGAGGGAAGAAAAACGAGACTGAGGGAAGCACAGATCTAATCTCAAATCCATAGGGAGAAGGTGGTCGCAACACTGCTGACGAGTGAAGGAAGTAGGCGGTGAATGCACATCTGATCTCAAATTCGTAGGGAAGAAAATAAAAATGAGAGAGAGAGAGAGAGAGAGAGAGGGTTTGAAGAAATGGTTTAGAGAGATAGGTTCCACATGTTGATATGCATAGGAATATGAATGGCTATTTTGATTATTTTGTACAAGACTGGCCTTATAGACATAATATTTTAGAGTATAGATTTTAGACCAACAAAATTCAAATTTAGATTTGTGGGCCAAGTGCCCATTTATTTTTATTGAATACATTCAATTTTAAATACTACATTAAATTATCAAACGCCACCAACTTCCTTACTTCCTTCCTCTCACCATGTTAGGTTAGATTTAGAATAATCCCCCACAATTATCACTGTGCTTCCCCAGGTTTGCAATTCAGTTCTTTTCCAATAATATTTAGAATAAATTACAAATACATATCTTGAGATTTGATTAAAATACGAATTGCTCCCTATAATTTTGAAAATTACATTTCACCCCCTGAGGTTTCTAATTTCATAACAAATCGTCATTTTTATTAATAAATCATCAAGTCAATTAACAGTTTATTAATGATGTTAAAAATATATTTCAATTAATAATTTAAATAATTTTATTATTATATAGGAGAGCAATTATGAATTTTATTTTTATAGTTAATTTAAATAAAAAATAATCTGTATTTTAAGCAAATCTCAGGGAGTGTATTTGTAATTTATCCTGATAGTTAACTCCATCATACTAATAATTTACTTATTTAAATCACAAAATCTTCAACTTTATATTGATCATTCACATTTGGTACTACAAATTCAAATACTGTTTAACCATGACTACGATTAATATTTACTCATTTATTATTATTGGTGAGCCGAGTAGTTATAATGTGAATAAAATCATTTACACTTACAAATTCCACAGAGATACAAATAAAATAGTCAAATGGAAAAACTTGAAGAATGAACCTTCACTAGGTATGGTTGTCCAATTATTGAGATTATTGGCCGCATGTTAGAACTAAAGTTAAAATTTGAAGGCTTTAAAAATGGAACACCAATGAATATGAAAGGATGAAACATCAGAGAAAATGACAAACGATTTAAAATATTCAAAAAAAGACGAATAAGATAACATAGGTCACTCACAGAATGTATGAACAAAGTTCAAAATTGACGACAATTAAGTTGGAAAGCCCCTAGAAATCCGCTAGAGAAGACCATTGAATATATTTTTTTCCCCCTCAATCTCTGCATTTTAGATTGATTTAAAAAGAATTTCTCTCAATTTCTTTCCATCTCCTCTTTTGCAATCCAAATAGATGATTAGGACTAAAAAAAAAAAAATTATTTTTTTCTTTCTTTCGTTCTTTTTTTTTTTTTTTTCAAATCACTCAATCCAAACATGCTGTAAATTTTGCATCTTAGTTGTAAAAAGTTTTTAGAACTGACCGTTGGTTCAATGGTAAAATATTGGTAACCTACTAACTTTGAAGTTATGGGTTCAAGTCTCGGGGTAATCACTTTGTGTGCTATGTCAAAGGTTAGATATGTACCTAATTTTTCCTCCCATCACTTTGTGCATTATGCCAAAAATTAGGTGTATACTCAATTTTTTTCCTCCTAAATACATATTAATGTGTACTAATTGACTTTATTTTTTATTTTGTATTTTTTTTATTTTTTTAAGTTCTGAAAAGTTTTTCTCTTCATTATTTGGTTGTATTTGCAAAACTTATTTTCACAAAAGTAAATACCAAAAAAAATATTTTTGAAATGAATTCCATTTATTTTCAGCAAACAAGTTTTTGAAAATTTTTTAGAAAACAAAACTCAACCATTCTTGGATAAATTACAACACATCCCCTCAGATTTTCTTAACATACATATTGCCCCATGTAATTCTAAAAATTATATTTCACCCCTTCAACTTTCTAATCAAATAACAAATGAACCCTTTAATTAATAAATTATTAAGTCAATTAACACTTTTTAGTGTTGTTAGACATATATTTCAATTAATAATTTAAATAATTTTATTATTGTGTAGGAGAGTAATTAAGAATTTTTTTTATTAATTCTACTAAATAAAAAATTTCTGACAATAGGATATTTGTAATAATTTTCAAATAATTCGTATTTTAAGCAAACCTCAGGAGATGTATTTGTAATTTACTCAACATTCTTTATATTTTTTGTATCTCTAATATAATTTTGTTTAACACCATAAAAATAACAATAATATTTTGTTGTGTGACTTGGACAGTTGGCAATTGCAGGCATGTTTGATTGACAGAATTAGAGTATGAAATTGGGATTATTAATCATGGGCCCAATAATCTTGTGTTCGTTTTGAAATTTTGTTTCAGGATTATTAATCCAATGGATAATTAATCCAACAAATTTGTAGAATTATTAATAATGGGGTAGGGGTAGGATTATATATCCTGAGTTGAAAATTAAAATAAAAAGACTCTTTTACCTTCTTAAGTTTTCTTATCCAATGCAAATCAAACAATAGATAAGAGAATAAGTTATACTAATTCAATTAGATAGTGAATACCACACTAATTTGATGGGATTATTAATACATTCACTATTAGTCTTATGAATCAAACATGGCCTTTGATAAAAAAAATAAAAAAATATATATATTGATTATTCCAAAATTCAAAATGGAAGAACCATGGAAGAATCCGCTGAGGTTCTGGGATATGGAACAGTTTAATCCGATTATTATAAGTAAAAGATCAGAAGCTATTGCTGCAAGTGCACAGAAGTTCAGCAAGAAATCGAAGCCAGACACTTCGAATCCGAGGGAAGAAGGCAAGATTTGAGACCTAAGCAAGGTTCTGAAAAGCGGTTGCGGTCGCCGTAACGGTGGCGGTGACGCGGTTGCGGTTGCGGGGTGTAAAGGTCGTAGTGTAACGGTTGCGGTAACCGGAACCGTGAATTTTTCTATTTTTCGCACAATTTGAAAAAAACTTACCGATACGCATATTTTTTTTCCATGATCATATTTGTTGGGTTAAAAATAAATATTGATCAGTTTTTATAAATTTTTAAGTATGATTCAATACATTTCATATTTTTAAATCACTATAAACTGATTTTTTTACATTTTATTTTAATAATTAATGACTTTATATTATACAAAAAATCAATCACTAACTATTATATATAAGATAAACAATGACAAAAGTAAGAGAATAAATAAGAGCCTAAATATATATATATATACATATTTTAACCAAACCAAATAGATAATAACCACACTTATTATTATTATTATTATTTTCAAACAATATATAGATAGACACACACAAACAAAATGGTTTAGTGATAGCAGCTGAATAGAATAACATAGGTCTTACAGTTTCAACAAATCAATAACATGTTCTTCATCTTCCCTTTTCTCTCTCTCTATCTCTTGCTCCTCCATTTTCTCTCTTTATCTTCCCTCTTCTCTCTATCCCTCTTCCCCAATTTTCAGCTTTTTTTTGTCTATTTTTTCGGAAGAAACAGTTTGAAACCGTTACGTAACGATGCGTAACAGGCCGTTACGGCTGTTACGGCACCGTTACGACCGCTACGGCCGGCACACCTGTGAATCTCAATCACACTGCAAAATCGGCCGTAACGAGTGGCGGTAACCATCAAAACCGTTACGTAACGGCGTTACGTAACGGTTGCGGCCGCTTTTTAAAACCTTGGACCCAAGGTTCGGTCTTGATTTCATTAATTTTTATGCAATCAACAATATTTGCTTTTATAGTTTGGTTAAATACAATTATTCTGTATGTGACTTGTATATTTTAGATGATTATTCTTCTTTAATATGAACTGTTTAGGAATATAGGAGAGAAAGGAAAAGAAAATGTTGTATTTTTCTCTACCTTTTATTTGATTAAGCTTAAGGGTAAAAAAAAACATTGAAAAGTAAATATATTATTTCATTTCTCTTTTATCTTGTATAAATACACTACGGCATTAATTTTTTTCTTTAATATTCTTTTTTAATTATTCATGCATATTGTGTATAGGTATATAAAATTTAAGTCAAATATAAATGTTTTGTAATAAATAATTTCATGTTAAATAAAAAATTAAATATAAATTAATATTAAGACATCAATAAAATAGATAAAAAATAAAAAATATAAATAAAAATTAATTTAATCCGTTTGATACACATAATTAAATACATTCTGTCTTATTTATTTATTTATTTGTATATTGAGATAATTTTTTTAATAATTAATGAAAAATATATATAAAATAAGTATTTCTCAAATAGAATTTATATAAAATTGGTTATTATAATTCAAATTGAATTTGTATAAAACTTTATATGTGGCTTTTTTAGAATGTGCTACCTACTTATAATAATATATATATATTTGATATGATGATGATTACTACCCATTTTATTTATTTATTTATTTATTTTTCCATCTTCCTTTCAATTTTTTATTCTACAGACGAATATGTGTAGCCTTCTGGTAGATCTATAAATATGTCTATAATCTTCCACTATTTGCAAATATGAAAGCATAGAAGTCTAATATACACTCCCATTCTTGTCCCTCTTCCAGAGCTTATGAATTTTTCTGAATCCTAGAACCTGGTGGTTGAAGCGTTGACCAAGAATTAGCAGATGTCGAAGCTAAACACTTTGAATCCGAGGGAAGAACAAGGACTTACAAGTGCTCTAAGGGAGATTTCAGACCCAAGGTTAGGTCCTGACTTCCATTATTTTTATGCCATTAATAATGCTTTTTTTTTTTTTTTTTTTTTTTTTTGAGTGTTTTTATGTGATATCTTATAATTTCAATTATTTTAATTTTGATTATGATTTATCATTTTGTCTTAACTACACGTGTTATGTTTTTATAGACAAAATTATAAACATGTTCAACCTAGTATGTTAAGCCCCGCTAATCAATTTCTTTCAAACACCTTAACATTATCAATTAGACTAAAGTAAGAATCAAAATTAAAATAATTAAAATGATAAAAGCTATTAGAAATTGGGCGCCCATGTGGCATGACCCTTTGAACCTTTTGAACCTGAACCTTTTGAACCTTATCCATGTAAGTTTGAATTTAAATTTAAAACTTATTTAGATAATCATTCAGGATATCTATATCTATCATATCAATAGATATGGATAGATGGATAGATAGATATTGGTTGATATATATTTAATAATATACATTTGATATGATGGGAGATACGTATATCAGATACGTTATGTGGTTTTTACCCATAACTTTTTTTTCCCAAACTCTCTCCCTCATGTGGTTTTTACCCATAACTTTTTTTTCCCAAACTCTCTCCCTCTAACTCTCTCCCATATGAGAATGATCTAACGTGGTTTTTACCCATAACCTTTTTTCCCAGACTCTCTCTCTAACTCTCTCCCATATGAGAATGATCTAACTTCTGCACTGTGACTTATGTGGGTGATACTCATTTTGTAGTATCACTCCACTACTGGGTTGGTTGTTCACATCCTGGAAGCACGTGATTTACCCACGAGATTCTTCGCTTTAGGCTCTACTAAAAGGTATGACTATGAAATTTTTTTTCCCACTGCGTCATAATACTTTATGATTTACATTGGTATCAGAGCCAATATGGGTATTTTCATGTTTATTTTTATGCATTAAAATATGTGTATATTTTTATATAAATATATATACATGATATATGCATGAATATCAATAAAAGAGGAAGATGTCCACTCTCATTAGATTAAGAGCATAAATACCTCATTTTTATGTTCATTAAATGTCATTTTTAATGCCATAAATGTATTTATTTTGGAAAATGGAGTTCGGTAGTACCGAAATTGGGCCAAAACACACCTGGAAGGCGGAGTGTGAGCCTCACGCGCCACCTGGCGCCGCGAGCGGCTTTCACGCGCTCTCACGCGCTTCCACGCACTGACACGCGCCAGACGCGCTTCCACGCGCCATCACGCGCGCGCCGTCTGCGCTACGCACGCGCTCCGTGTGCTGAGTCGCGTGCTGAGCCGCTCGTTGCGCCTCCTGCTGAGCCGCCTTTGAGCCGCACATTTTTTTCTACGCCGCTAGCTATTGATGTTAAGGATCTGTTTGTTTTGTTTTAAATTATGAATCGCGTTAAATAGTCATAATTAATTCGTTACAGCTTTGTTTTAAGCATGGTTGGTACCATTAGACTCAGAATTCAATGTTCTATCTTCTGTAAAATTTTTAAAATTTTATGAAAATAAAAAATATTTTTTCTGAAATAATAATTCATTATTTCTGCTTTAAAATGCATCTGGTGTTGCATGATTAAGTTTCTAGGGCTGAATTTTTTATTGTAGACTATTGTTGTAGTTTACTATTTACTGGTATGATTATTGCATTTTACCAGATTCTGAAATATTTATTTCTAATTTTATGTGTGTTTATTAGTTATTTAAAATTTTAGAAAATACCAGAAAATTCCAGAAATTTTCAGAAGTGATACACTTTCTGTTATGGCATAATTTGAATGTTAAATACAACATATTGTTATTTTTTACCTAGAATTTCTAATATGTTGTAATTAGAATAGCATGATTAATTGTTATTTGTTTAAATTCCATTATTAATTGTGACATAGTATGAGTTGGTTGTGAATCTACATTATGATGCTATTGTATGGAATTAAAATTTTTTATCATGCTTTTAGACATGCCATAGTCAGTGGGAGGTTATTCGGTTGTGAGAAATCTTTATAGATTAACTCCCGAAAACTAATATTTTGTGCATAAATTAAATTAAATTTTGGATAATTGTCACCTGTGGCACAAGAGATGATTACGAGCATAGCGGATTTTCGATCTTGCGACCTGTGTAATATTGTCACTATTTAATTTAGATTTTTGTGGCAAAATTATATTATGTTAATCAAATTAATCCCAATACAAATTTCTCTCTAAATTGACTTAACTTATGGAAGTTAATTGGTTGACCTAGAGTTAGTAGAGATGTTCAACTGTGAACAGTGTAATCCTATTCTTTAGATGAGCAAAAGTCTTGGAGACTTTAGGTCAGACCTTAATTGAGCCAAAGTAGGGAAACATGACTCAAAGTCGTCGTGGTTTTGTTGCCTTGTTTGGCACAATAAAAACTAATGTGTGCGCTATGATTAGCGGCACGCTACGTAGTTTTGGTTGGCGAGTTTTGGAGTTATGAAATTAGTAAACCCTCAATAGATCTCTATATGATCTTGACTATTGAGCTGCGCGGATTGACTTTGTAATTTGACTTGTAATGATGTTGCATCATTAGATGAAGTAACATTCAAGAGTCACGTCATCCAAGAAATGCGAGTTTTAATGAGTTAGTCATTAAGTGTAAGACGAGTAGCTAGCATGAGCAGTGTTTTGCTCTTTACCCAACTATTGGGAGTGGATGAAGTAAAATTTCACGCACTATAATAGTGTGCATTAAAGTGTCACTTGAAGTTAAAAGATTAGCGCTTAGCAGTAGCGAAATCTATTAACAATAAGTGAAAAGATTAGCGTCAAGTGGCTGCAAAATCTATTAGCATTGCCAACTTGTCTAAGTTTGGACACTTACTGTTTCCACACTTGAGTGTGAGACATGTTGAGGTGTTTCTTTGTATGATTCCTTAGCTAGGCTAACGTTTTTTTTTTAATAATGTTTACCACTAAGCGCAAACGTTACAGCATAGTAATGAAAAGGTCAAGGCCGACAAGGTTGTTATGACTCTAAGAATTTGACGCATCGCTTGTGAGAACATTATGTTGAATAAGACTCTTTAGCCTAATTCGCGCTTAAGTTACTTCAAGAGCTGTCATAGATTGATAGCTTATTCTCTCCTTCTTGTGGATAGTAGAATTAATTGCAAGTAACTATGAAGCGAGAAATAGAAATGGAAAAAGGAGTATCGTCATCTTTCAACTAGATGCAGTAAAGTGTTTGAAGAATAAAATTGACTTGAAGGTGCAGGGGATTAGCATTTACTAGTTAAATTTGCGACTTAGGCGCACTTGATATCTCCATGACATCCTTTTATGATCTAGTGAATATGAATTAGTCGTGAGTCATTACCTAGTTGGGCCTAAACCTTTAAAACTTGTCTTCGAGAACTCACACATTAAGATGATTGGAATTAGTTTATGACATTGGTCATGAACCGGTGGCTTATTATACTTAATCACATTAATGAGATGATGACACGATGGTTTAAGTAGGCATTCTCGGGCCCACTCACTTATGACATCCTGCTCTCATGTGAATGTGTAACTTTGTTCGCAATGGATGCGCACAAGTAAGTAAGAAAGCCGTAGAAGGTCATTTTGTTTTGACGCATTTAGTCCACTATGATATTTGTGACTAGATATGTGTAAGGGTATGATAGCTAAGCCTCAATCTCGACACATTTATAGATTACGATACGCATCTAAGTCAAGACTATTTGATCTCCCATAAGTCAAAAGTTTGAGATGATTTTTGACATTGCACATATGAGGTCGAGATCAATTAGATAAGAGCTTTTGTGCTTCTAGTTTTGACCAAGGTGGCGAGTATCTATTTGAGTGTTTTTTAGAAAGCTCTGTGAAGAGAAATAGATGCTTAGAAAATTGATTATTCCTAATACTCAACAACACAATGGTGTAGTAAAGATAAGGAATTAAGTATTGTTAATGTTAGGTGGATGATGGCACAAAATGTTTTCCAATTGGGAATTGCACTTTAGTTTGTTGCTTATATCCCTAACTAAATGCCCTCCATATCAGATTTTACACTCCATTTGAGTAATGGGTTAGCGGAGAGCCATCTATGGGCGATCTGTAACCGTTAAGCAGCTTATCTTTATTTTACTTCTCATAAGGTTACGAAGTTAAGACCTAGGGTTCTATAGCGCATTATTGTATGCTGCCATGTAAACCCTTCGGGTCATGTGCATATAGGTAAGCAGCTTTCTGGGAGTGTAACTAAGTCACATAAAGTTTTCTTAGTAAAAGTGACTAAATAGAGTTTTGGAACTCTACAAGATAGAGAATTCTAAGTATAGCACTCTATGTAGCCTAGTTGAGAATGGAAAGAAATTTCCAATACCCTAGGGATAGTGGGAGCGATGTGCCTACTAATGGATTACTCCATTAGAGAAAAATACTCTACATTCTTAGTTGCGTGGTAGCAAATGTGAAAATTTTTCATGTCATCACTGGGTGATTGAGAAGGAAACATTCATGATTGCTTCGCAAAATGATAAAGAGCCTAGGATAATGCCAAAGGCTCTAGTCCCCTGTTTTTAGAAAGTGGATCAATGTTGCGCAGTTGAAGACAAAGTCTTTGAGGATTAACCATTTCTATAATTTGGTTGACTTTCCATTAAGACGCGAAACTGTTCTAAAGTTATGCGCATTTTGGATAGTCATTGTTGAGGCATAAGGCTCGCTAGATACCGAAAAGTCACACTATTGAGGAAGGTGTAGACCAAGAGAAGACTTTCTCCTAGGGAGTGAGGTTATTTTGACTTAGGCTATGATTGACATAAGTTCGGAATATTGATTTGTGGACATTGTGACCCAACTTTCTCGTTAGAGAATTGGATAAGTAGATCTGTAGGGATTTACCCTCTGCTTTTATGGTGAAAAGTTAGGAGCGCAAAAAAGTTGCTAAGTTCTAATAAATCTTTTACAGCCTAAAACAATTATCCAAATAGTAGTTCTTAGATTTCGTCAAGCCATGATAGGCCGACGATGATCGATAAAGACCACTGAGGCATGATCAATGGTCCAAAAGAAGTTTTTCCTTACTTAGTCATTATAAGCCAAGAATTTATAGGGTTGTCGCCACCTAGGGTGGGCAGTCCTCTATTTTAGATATGATGGACATGGGTGATGTAATTTATATGCTCGGATGTACGATCCTTAGGGATTGTTTTGGGAGAATTCCTGTTTTGTCTTCGATGACTTACATAAGGAATATCCTAGAACGATTCTAGATGCAAAATTGCAAACCCATTGACTCACCTATCGGTAAAAGCCAAAGCCTTAGCTATTGAGTGAATCCTCGGATTGTCTTTGGGAGAAACAGACGACCTATATTCCTTGATCTTTTCTTTGTTGTGGGAACCTAAAGTACGCTATGTGGGCGTATTCGGCATAATAAGTGTTATCTTTGGTAAATGGTCAATTGAGTTATTTAGACATTGACCTTGCTCATTAGACTGTGAATAGAATGCTTTACTAGTAGTATATTAATTTGCTCCTTGTAAGATTCAATACGCTAGTTGGGCGCATCAAGAATGAACACAAATTGATCACCAAAAATATATTTAGAGAGGTTATTGCGCAAGAGGTAGTGATCTTGAATCACCTCATGTGAGGCGCACGTGGAGGATTTCGTTGTATATGCTTATCGCAAGAGGTGCTGATAAGGCTTATGTTTGGAATCTAGAATTGCGCAAGTAGTGGTCATGTTTTTTAAATCGATCACTTATTTGTTATGAGATGATGGGATGTTAACACTATTATGGTTTGTGTCATAATGATTAGCAGATGATGATGTCAGTAGG